ATAGAATAGAATAGAATAGAATAGAATAGAATAGAATAGAATAGAATTCTTTATAAGGCTACCCATCCAGAAGGGCGAAAGGCATGAAAATAACACCCCTTCTCCCCGTTTCTGCAGCTGGTCATCACCGCCCTGAAATGTCACAAGTACGACAAGAACATCCAAGTCACGGGAAGCGCCGCCCTCTTCTACCTCACCAACTCTGAGTACCGCCCGCAGCAGAGCACCAGGCTACGGCAGCAAGTCATCCAGGTGGTGCTGAACGGCATGGAGTCCTACCAGGAAGTCACGGTGAGCGTCTCGTTCCCCTTTACCTCTTTCTGGAATTTTGATCACGCGACCCTGGGGATGCCCCCAGGGTCATAAGTGTGAAAAATGGAAATAAGTCACTTTTCTTCTGTGCCGGTTGTGACTTAGTCGCTAAACGAACGGTTGCAAGTCAAGGACTACCTGCAAAGATGGGAAGAATGGCAGCATCCCCCCAAAAACCCGCGTGGTCGGTCTTCCCGGCTGGCTCACCCAGGTGTTTTTGTCCGCAGGTGCAACGGAACTGCTGCCTCACCTTGTGCAATTTCAGCATCCCCGAAGAGCTGGAATTCCAGTACCAGCGGGTCAACGAGCTGCTGCTCAGCATCCTCAACCCGACGCGGCAGGACGAGTCCATCCAGCGCATCGCCGTGCACCTCTGCAACGCCCTGGTCTGCCAGGTGGACAACGACCACAAGGAGGCCGTCGGCCGGATGGGGTTCGTCACGGTGGGTTTGGTTGGAAGAGCAACCTGGGCCGCCTCCTCACCTGTGGTGGCGGCGGCGGCGTGGAGGATGCGGTTGAGCTGTTGTTAGACTTTTGGCAATTTGGTTCACACGCGTGTGTGTGTGTGTGTGTGTGTGTGAAGGAATTGCTTACCACTTTACATAAAATAATTGCTTTTGCTGCATTCGGCGGTGCTTGCCGAGAGCCTCAAGTGTGATTGTGAGACCACTGATGGGGGGGCAGCCATCACAACTCTTTGTGGAGGCCCGGTGGGATCCTGCCTCCAATTCTTCTCATGTTGGGTTTGACATGTTGGGTTTGATAGAAAAAAGGCACTCAGAAAAGAGCAACCAAGATGACTGGAGGCTAAAACATGATAAAACGGTCGAGGGAGTCAGGCATGTGCAGCCCAGCACCTTCGTGGCCAGCTGGGGAATTCTGGGAGTTGAAGTCCACCTTTCTTCACTTTGCTAAGGTTGAGAAACACTAGACTAGCCTATCCACACAAAAAAAGTTGTTTTTTTTTTAATCTAAAGAGCTGCTTGATTGGGTTTTTTTTGTCTGCTATAAAAAGAAGAAGACGACTTTCATTTTGACGACGTTAAAGGTGACAGATGAACCTCTTCCCCTCAAACCATCCAAGGGCGAAGTCTGAACCCCTCCATTGGCATCCTCTGCCATTCAGCACCCACACACACACGCACACACCCCGTCTGTAACTCAGGTCTTCGTTCTTTTCTTCCGACAGACCATGCTGAAGCTGATCCAGAAGAAATTGGGGGATAAAATAGTAAGTTTCAGATTTCCTGGATTTCATATTCCACCTTCCCCCTCCAGCCAAAGGGAATTCTCTGCTCTCCTGCCCTCCACTGGGAGTTCGGCTAGACAGAGAGAGAGAAGGATGGCGTGAAGTTTCCCAGGACGCATTCATAGCTGAGGGGCTGCCTGCCCTCCCCCCTTGTCCCATGATGGCAAACCTGTGGCATGCGTGCCGGAAGCGGCACGCAGAGCCATTACTGCCGGCACAGGAGCGCTCACCCAGAGCAGGTCTACTCTGCATGCATTCACACCGCCTGCCCGGCAGCTGATTGTCGGGAATCTGGTGTGCATGAGCAGGGTGTGTGTGTGTGTGTGGGTGGGTGGGAGGCGTGTGCACATATGCAGGGAGTGTGGGGTCCCCGTGAGCATTGCCTTTTGGGTGCTGGCACACGAGGAACACAGGAGCCCCCAAAAAGGTTACTCACCGCTGTCCTAGTCCAAAGACCTTAACCCCTGTGCCACACTGCTTCTGCCAGAATCCCCCTCCTTTGGCAAAAAAAAAACCCGGTCTTTTTCTCCCCCCCCCCCCTTTCCTCGGCTCGAAAAGTGCGATCAGGTGATGGAGTTCTCCTGGAGTGCTTTGTGGAACATCACCGACGAGACGCCAAGCAACTGCGAGATGTTCCTGAACCACAGCGGCATGAAACTCTTCCTGGAGTGCTTGAAAGTGCGTGTCCACGTTGACTTGATTTCTTCTTGGCTTGGTATTGGCCAAAGTGGGAGGTGGGGTGGGGGGTGGGAGCCCCTTCTCCATCCATCCTCTTAAAATCCACTTTAACGGGTGTCTCACTCAGCGACACGAATTCTGGGCTCCATGCTGGGTTCGTAAGTCGAGGGACTCCCTGTATAGGGTCCTGTCAGTCCATGGCTGGCTGGGCTGCGGAGATTTTTGTCCCAACGGGCTGGCTCTTCCCCCCGCAGGAATTTCCAAACAAACAGGAGCTGCACCGCAACATGCTGGGCCTTTTGGGCAACGTAGCCGAAGTCCAAGCTCTCCGTCCTCAGCTTATGACCTCCCAGTTCATCAGCGTCTTCAGGTGAATCCCTGCCGTGCATTGCAGCCCCCCCCCCAAAAAAAAGAGCTGTTGTGGGGTGTGGGGCTTGGAGCCGATCTGGTGGGCAAAGTTGAAAAGGCTGAACTAGATGGCCTCTGGGGTCCCTTCCAGGCTTGCAATGGTTTTGGGCGGTGGGCATGGGTGGTTGTTTTTTTTTTTGAAGGGGTCCTGACCTCACGCTCTTTGGGGGGCCAAAATCCTGACTTCCGGATACACGTTTTGCGGCAGCAATTTACTAGACAGCGAAGCCGACGGGATCGAGGTGTCGTACAACGCCTGCGGGGTCCTTTCCCACATCATGTTCGACGGGCCGGAGGCCTGGCTGATCGCTGAGCCCAGCAGGGACCAGGTGGTGGACCGAATGTGGGCAGCCATTCAACGCTGGGATGTCAATTCCAGGCGGAACATCAATTACAGGTGAGCAGGTCGGCTGTCTGAAGGAGACCCCCTGGGTTCCCTGCCCAAGCTTTCCTGTTCTGGGGTGCTTAGTAGTCTCCCTGCCTGGTTTGGAGCAGCTGTTGTTGCTTGGGTTATTTTTGATTATTTATTCATTTGTGTCTTGCCTTTATTCTTTTTACAAATAAATCAAACAGGCCTCTCTCTCCTTCCCTGCACTCCTTCTCTTCCACCCTCCCTCCCTGCTTTCCTTCCTTTCTGCCTGCCTACATTTCTTCCTCCCTCCCTCCCTCCCTCCTTCCTTCCTTCCTTCCTCTCTCGCTCTTTCTTTTACTTCCTCCCTTCCTCCCTTCTCTTCTTTCCATTCCCTTCTTTCCCTTCCTTCCTTTCCCTCTCTTTTCCTTCCTTCCCTTCCCATCCTTCCTTCCTTCCTTTCTCTCTCTCTTTCTTCCCCCTCCCTCCCTCCTTCCCTCCCTCCTTCCGTCCTTCCTCTCTCTTACTTTTCCTTCCTCCCTCCTTTCCCTTCCTTCCTTCCCCTCTCTTTTCCTTCCTTCCTTCCCTTCCCCCCTCCCTCCCTCCCTCCCTTCCTTCCTTCCTTTCTTTCTCTCTTTCTTCTCCCCTCCCTCCCTCCTTCCCTCCCTCCCTCCCTCCTTCCTTCCTCTCTCTCTTACTTTTTCTTCCACCCTCCCTCCCTCCCTTCCTTCCCTTCTTTCCCTTCCTTCCTTCCTTTCTCTCTCTTTCTTCCCCCCTCCCTCCCTCCTTCCTTCCTTTCCTCCCTCCCTCCCTCCCCTTCTTTCCCTTCCTTCCTTCCCTTCCCCCCTCCCTCCCTCCCTTCCTCCCACCTTGATCTTCCTCTGTTTTTTGTGCTCCTTCCAACAGGTCCTTTGAGCCAATTCTGAGGCTCCTCCCGCAGTGGGTTTCCCCCGTCAGCCAACACTGGGCCACCTGGGCCCTTTACAACCTGGTCTCCGTCTACCGTAAGTCTCCTCCTCCCAGTGGGCCCCTGTGGGCTGGGCGGGAAGTGGGGCTCCGAGGTGTCTCTCCAAAGGTTTGCCTGCCTGCTGTGTGTTGCATGATCAAAGGTAGCCACAGTGGAGGCGACCTGGATCTGGCTGAGGGAGGGGGCCTCTTCCAAAGGGGGCTGGGGAGATACAGACCCAGTTTCGCGCGCCCCTCCCCCCCATTGACCTCCAGCCCATAACCGCTTCCTCTTTCTCCCTCCATCTCCAGCGGACAAATACTGCCCCCTGTTGATCAAAGAAGGGGGCCTTCAGCTCCTGCAGGACATGATTCAGATGGCGTCAGCACGGCCAGAAACACAGGAGATGGGAAGGTGAGCTCTCTTGCCCTCCCCTCCCTATTTACCCCTCTTCCCCTCCCTCCTCCTCCTCCTCCTCTTCCTTTTCCCTTCTCCTCCTGGCATTTCTGACCACAGAACACCGGGGAACTACGTTGTCAGTCCTCCTCCATCACAGCCGGCGGAATTAAAAATTGCAGCTGGCCCCCAAACCTTTCCTCCCTCCTGCAGTTTTGCCCCCATCTCCCCTCTCTCCCTCTCTCTCTCTCTCTCTGCCCTAAAATACGAAACTCCCCTGCAGAGGCAATGCCAGTTGGCCGCCACTTAATCTCTCTCCCCCTCCCTCTTCCTCCCGTGCCAGGAAAGTCATCGAACACTGCAATCACTTTACGGACGAGACCATGGACACCTCCAGATAGAGGCGAGCGTGGCGTCCCGGCCTCCTCTCCAATTCACCTGTACATAGGTTGGACTGTCTCTCCTCACCAGCTTAGCTGTCGGAAGAAGCCCGTAGTGCGTGCTGGGTTGTGTTGGAGGTGTGCCTACCTGGACATCGTTAAGAAGTCAAGGGAGGCTCAGGAAATGAGGGTGGGGGTGGGGAATGGGTGTTTTTTTTTTTTTTAGAAACCACACCTGAGCAGTTGACTTCGAGGGACCATTATTATTTTTTTGCACACTACAATTGCTTCCCTTTAAAGGTGGAGATGGAGATAGGAAAGGGGAGAGGTTTTTAAAAAAGTACTGATTGGTGTTTTTGTTTGTGTGTGTGTGTGTGTGTGCGTGTGCGTGTGTGTGTCATGAACTGTATGAAATGAAAATCCACGCTGTCGTGTATCTGTGGAGCTTTTGGGCAGAGCACGGGGACCTTCCTTCCCATCGCGGGGCGAGGGTCGCTTCCGCTTTTGCGACGCAAAAAGATTTAGGCACGGCGAAGCTGCTCATCCCCAGCCCAGGAAGGACTGTGGGGCTGGGGATGATGGGCGCACTCCAAGGCCTCGGAGCACTCCGATCGGAACACTAAGGAGGAACCTTCCTTGCTTGCCTCTCTTTCGCCACCTTCCCCATCCCTGCAGCCGAGCTTTGCAAAAAGCAGCGAAGAAATTTGGGCCGGTTAATACTGAGGTAGGTCAAATCTACCCCACTCCTCAACTCCTTCAGATGCTGTGTGAGGCTTCAGTGCATGGTGCTAGTTGGTGATGTCCTTGGGGGGGTTTTAAGAAGCGGGGGGCGGGGGGGAGCTAATCCTTGCCAGGTCTCGCAGAGTCTTTTAGGGGTATTGTCTGTGACCAGACAACGTTGGGCATTGAGAAGGGGTTAAAGTTAGTCCGTAGTTTCTCTGCAAAGTGTTAGGCGTGGAAATAAACCTGTTGTTGTGTTCTGAAGACAGGGCAGAGACTGCCGCTCGCTACCTGGATGACCACACACGTGAGGTTGAAACTCTTGAATCACCAGGAAGCTTTGCTAAGACAGAGGCCCCCCCAAAAACACAGGTCTCTCTCTAGCCAGGAAAAAAAAACCGAGAATCTCCTTCTTAACTTGGTTTCTTTGGAAGCTGAGTGGCTGGATGAGAAAACTGAGGCAGATTGAAGAACTTGCAAATGTAGATTAAAACTTGTGAATTTGGGCTCTCCTTCCCTCCCCTGGATCCAGCAGGGAGGTAACATACAGCATGGCAGAATCTCCCCAAAATACGGACGAGGCCACCTTTAGACCTCATCGTTTGACAAACCAAGGAAGGTTTGGCTAACTGGTTGCAAAACCAGGCTTACATCTATATATATATATATTTTAAAAAGTTTAAGTCTGCAAAAATGCCCCTTCTTCTATTATGCAGGCTTCCTTAACAACCCCCCCCCCCCCAAATGAATGGCTTTTACTGCAAGTGTATCGGTGACACTTTCTTAAAAGAGAGAGTTCTGTCTCATACACTCATGGAAGAATGCCTGTTTTGGGTCCAAATGTGCATCCAACTTGTCATTTTTCTGTTCGGCCGTTCTTTTTAAAAAATATATTCAGAAATGGAGCTGGAGTAGATGATCTCCGATGCTCCGATTCTGGCATCCTGATTTTACACCTTTGATTGATTATGCACCAAGGTACATAATCGAGTAGGATTTCTTAAATTGGACAACGTGCTGGAGAATTAGAGGCAACGGTGAACGTTTTGGGTTCCGGTTTGCTCTCCTGCCTTTGATTGGAGTTCCTGGGAAAGATAAGCTAGCAAAAGAGGTGGCTGGGCAGAGGGTGGGCCATGTGGGGCAGAAGGCCCTGGGTTTAATCCCAGGTGTACCTCTACACCTGGCCTTAAATCTTGGGGAGGGTTCCCTTCCCCTCAACCCTTTGCTTTTATTATCATAAAAACAAAATGTTTATATCTGGGGAACAATGCTGTGGAGGATTGTTGGCTCAGTCTTCAGCAAGCCCAAAAGCATAGATGATCTTAAGGAAGACCCATAAATTTGCATACTCCAGCTCTCCTCTGCAACTGCCATGGGACCAAACTTGGAAGAAATTTGCAGATCCCTGAGGTAGTTTATGACATTTTGAATGGATATAAGCGGAGTCTTCCTTTGGCTGGAGTCAACATCTCAACATCTGGGGCTCAGAAAACAGGTGGCATAGAAAATCCACCCCTAAGTTCTCTTTTTCATGCATTTCTCCCAATCTACAGCAACAGTGTCCCCAAATTGATCAGTTTATCAGCTTATCTATTTATCCTTCAGGATAGATAGGTGCCGCGCAACCTATAGATATTATATTCCTTTCTAGAGCAAGATTTGTGGTTAAACTTCCTCGCAAGTGCAAAGCAGAAGGAATTGATTCCTGATGGCCTTATTGTTTGGCGTCTTCTATGTGTGATAAAGGGAATCTGAGCCATGAGTTCAGGGACGGCAATTTCCGAGATGGGTGGGCCCCAACTCCCAGAATTCCAATCATCAAAGCCATCGCTGAGAATTCTGGGAGTTGAAGTCCTCTCACCTTCAATTGGTCAAGGTTGAGAAACACTACATTAGTTGGGTGTCAGTTGGTCGAAGGAACAACCTGGCTTAATGTTTGTCAGCTGTCCGGAGTCGCCTCGTGGCGAGATGGACGGCAAACAAATTTAATAAATAAAATAAGGAAATGGAAAAGGGGAATGATTTGTGTATCTTCCTTCGAGTCCAGAAGAAAGGCAAATTGTGATAGATTTTTAGAAGAAGAAGGGAAAAAACCCGCCAAATTTTCCTCGGCCTGGAAAAGTGCCGATCTTAAGGTATGGACTTGTTTGACCGTCCAGGAGGAAGTCGTGTGTTATTTCCTTGTTTTCAGAAGAAAAGGATTGGAGCTGCTTAACAGAGACCGGGAAGGTGATTAAAAAGAACTGCTATCTGGATTTGTAGCTTCTGCTGATGATGCTGTAACAGAAATGTGGAAAGAGAGCTGTTGAAAATCCTTTGTAAATTTAAGCTAATTTCCTCATCATCTCCATTCGAAGAGCCTTTCCTTGGTCCTGTATCTGTGATGCAAAGATTTTTATTCTGGACAGTTATTAATTCTTCCGTTTGCTGTTATATGTCATCAATAAACAAGGAAAACAATTTTTCTTGGCCTCATTGTAAATACTTTGGTTCGTATATAATGCAATCTGAATTTATCCACAAGGAAGGTTGGCCTTTCACTGATACATTTTGCCTTTAAAATAAAACTCTTTAATTTTGCCAAGGATGAAGGAGTTAAAGAAATTTTTCTCCCCGATTTTGGTTTGGCTGGAGGAGAGCAGATCAAATGGAGGGCTCTTCCTTTTTGCTAAGTGGGGGTGTATTGTTTGTTATATCTGGCCAGAAGAGTCCTTGGGTTGCTCTGAAAATATTTAAAAATTTTTGCTGTTTACAAAGTCAAATTTCTCCTGGGGCTTTTTAAAGGAACGGGAAATCGGCATGGGTTTCTGTCTTGAAGCCAAGGGAATTGGGCTTAGCAGAAAAATAATTTGAAATTACAACTATGCGGTTTTTATTTCATTTCTGAATAATGTACGGGAGTGCGAATGCTCCAGTGTATTTCCAAAACACCATTTGGAGATGCATCCCATTTCTGGAAAGACGGGAAAATCGCCACTGTGTTGAAACGGCCAGTGTGTTTTGTGCAAGGAATGAGCTCGCCATTCTCTTGGAGCTCTATGGGGTTGGACTAGATGACCTTGAAGGTCCCTTTACAAATTCCTGAGGTTACGATGACACCTTTGTGGGCCCTTGATGGCGAATTATTATTATTTAATCCCACCTTTATTACACCATTGGTATCTCAAGCCAGAACAGCCTACTTGGTTTCCTCCTGTTTTTCCCACCACAACAACCCTGTGAGGTGGGCTCCTCCTCTCTCCCCACTGCGGAGGACTCCCACTCCCATAATCCTCGACCGCGTGGGGGATGATAGGAGTCGAGGTCCAGCCCGATCGCTCCCACTGCCCCCCCCCCCCCCCCCCCGACGGGCGAGTTCGAGGAGAACTTGCAACAGTTCGAGCCGGCTCAGCCAATCAGCGCGCGGCGTCCCCGGCCACGCCTTTCCCCTGTCTTCTGGCCGGCCAATCCCGTCTTCCCGTCGGCGGGGTGGGGCGGAGCTTCGGCGCTTCCGCTTGGGGCAACTTAGTAGCCGCGGGTCGGCGAGGGAGGATGCGGCCCCGGCCGGCCGTGGGCGGTGGGTGGGCGGTGAGGGCGGCGCAGACGGGGCTCAGCTTGGGCGTGACGGTGGGGCTCTTCCTGCACGACACAGGTGAGATGGATTCGGGGTCCCTGGCAGGGTAAATTTGGGAGAATGCCCGGGAGATCCCCGCCAAGCCAAGCCACGGGGGGGGAAGCAATCGTGGCTTGTTGAGTGTAAGCCACGATCTAGGTTAACCACGGCTTGTTCCCTCCAGCCGAAGCGGCCACGAGTTCAGACAGAAGAAGCACCGGCAAAGGATCGCCGCGGTGTGCCAACCTTATTACGGATTAGTGCAAAGTGCACGCGTGTTGCTCGCTCCCCCCACCCTTTTTTTTTTTGACAACAGGCGTCGGAGTTTTCTCACATTCGGACCTGCGTGGCCGAAGAGAGTTACGGGTGGGAGGTTCCGGGTCTCGTGGGCATCGCTTTAAACCAGAGTTTTGATCTGGCAATGGGCATCGCGCCTTCTGTGCAAAGGGCGCCTGTCTTTCTGTTAACCTAGTTTAAAGCGGGGGGGGGGGGGGGGAGCACTTTGGGGTTGTGTGAACCTAGTCTGGGAACATCGAATCGGTCCGGAGAGATCCTTTCCCATATTCTGAGGTTGTTTTATCCTCCTGCCTGGATATTTCTGGCCTCCTGACAGCGAAGGGAGTAGCAGCCTTTGGGCCATTTCATCCATGAACTGCGATTATTTCTAATAATTGGAAGATTGCACCCTCTCGAATGAACCACCAGCCCGTTTAAGGGAAGCCAGGCCAGGAAACAGACTCTGCAAGATTCCAGGATTCCACTCTATTGTTCTAGAACAGAATCTTCATATTTTTTAAAAATATATATATTTTATGGTTGACATTTCAGGCAGGATTGTTGTTATGGGGAAAACAGGAGGAGGAAGAACTATTCGGCTTGTTTGCTGCCTTATTTAATAAAGGCGGGATAAAAAGAAAATCAAAATCTATAATAGTGCTAATAAAATCAGAAAGTAATATACAGAATGGTAATAAAATCAGATGTTTGAAAAAACTAAAAATATTCCCAATTATTAAATCTAGCTATATAAACTATTTATTCTTCTATATTTTCCGAGTCTTTGCACTAATAATTTTACACTATGCTTACATTTGTAATAGTTTATTATTAGTTTATTATAGTTTATTTTTAGTTTATTATTTAGCTCCATATTAATTGCAGTTTTGGACTAAGCACGATGTTCGTTTTGCTTTTTCTTCCTAATTAAAAATGATAAGATGTTTACATGTTTGGATTTGGCATTTTTATCCCCCTGTTGAGACCTTCCCAAGGACCTGGGATGAACAGAAGTTTGATGTGGATGTTTGATATCTTGTTTGCAGGATGTCAGCTGTTCCAAACAAGCTGTCAGCTGTCTTTTGCAATTGACTGTTAGGGAATTTGTCGATGCCGACAGAGTTCTAGTGGTGCCCCAATTGTTTTAGGGAGGCACTATCAGTCAATCACAGAAGGCAGCTTCACTCAGCTTACTTCCTGCGCCAAGATCCAAGGCACCACTTGATTGTGAATCGAGACAAATTCCTTGTGTGTCCAATCACACTTGGCCAATAAAGAATTCTAATCTAATCTTAATTTCCAATTTGTGTTCCTCTTCCAGATCTCCGGAGGCAGCTGGAGCAGGGAGAACTTCTCCAACCTCTTTTGTTCATTGTGCTGGTGCTCTTTTCCGTTGTCCTGTATTTTGTTGTGTCGCTCATGAATCCTGGCTACGTTGAGGACGACAGCGGAGACGAGAAGGTGGGTCGATCCCTCAAGGAAAAACTGGGAATGTTTCAGGGGGCTGTTGGGAGTTTTAAAGGGCGTGAAATTGAAACCCTCGACGGAGGCAAAGCGTGGGGTTGCTACACACAATCCTCATCAATACGACCCTTTCGCGGGTCTGCAAAGCGAGGGAAGACAGACCACGAGCTCCATCACAGCCTCACTTAGGGACTGTTTCGCTTGGCGACCGAATTGCCAGTCTCAGTTGTGGCCACTAATTGAGGATGAAGTCTGTACAGGTACTCTTCAACTTACAACCATTCGTTTAGGGACAACGGCACTGGAAAAAAAAAAAGCGACTCAGGACCGTTTTTCACACTTACGACCGCTTGAAGCATTTCTCCCCATGGTCACGTGACCCAAATTCAGCCGC